ATTTGCATATACAATAATATAGTAAGTCGTGCTCTTAACGGTATTGACTAACTGCTTTACAGTGTGTGCTGTGCACGGCTTATTATAGTCCAGTATGTAAATGCCTATATTACTAGATGTAGTACTGCGATATTTAAGCTATCAGCATTATAGAATAAAGTCCAAATTCTTAATCTCTTGCTGCATCAACATGCAACTGGACGTTTATAAAATAGAGTAGATATATTATATATATAATATATAATATATTAAACGTGTGTTATACGCGTACGCTAATAATACTTACTGTATATAAGTGTGGCTTTTCTATCTTGCAAGATCAGCAGCAATTGCACTTGCTGCTGTGCCTTGCGGTTTTACGTTAAAAATAAAATTATTGATTTTTCATCCCAACTATTTTGCAATTATGTAAACTACAAACATAACAGTATTCAATGAAACGCGTTGCTGGTTTGGTAGAAACTACAAACATAAATACGCGTATATATACATTTATATACTTGGACGCGTGAATTATTTGTACATTTAGCGAATTAATGATAGTGTAAGGATGAGATGTCATCCTTATCTATTGGATATGTAATGATTCTATGTCTGCGTAGCAAAGGCATAAATCATGTGTGGTGATGGCATAACTTTTACTACGCTCATTGAACTAAGAGATTATTATCCAATAGGTAGCTAAATAGTGACTGTCATCAGCACGTGTGCGGTAGCCGATAGTATCAGTTAAAAAACAAAAAACAAACTACGCCAGTATAAAATAACCTATTTTATTACAAGAGTACAATCCAAATAGTCACTATTTAAGGATGGATTAGTATAAATTTAACAGAGCATGTACACAAATATAAATATATTACTTATTTGCCAGCTTTACAGAACTAAAAGCAATCCTGAGACTAATATTACGATCAAATCGAATCCACATATACTCTTCTTTCAATTCCAAGATACACATCATACATCGGTTGCAAACTAGCTAAAGATGTGGTAGACAATGGCACTTCAGTTTCAGCAACAGTTTTAAATTTGATACTACGCAGTGTTATTACAAGCATCATCTTAAAGATCATTGTAACAAAATGAGTAGCCATACATGCTCTAGCTCCGACACCAAACGGCAAGTAGCTACATGGGTGTCTTGCACTATTTGCATCATCAGATAAAAATCTTTCCGGTCTAAAACTACTAGGATTGGGCCATATTTCCGGATCACGATGTATTGCATACACTGGAATTGCAATCGTTACTTCTTTCGGAAAGAAAAATCCATTTATTGAGCAATCTTCAACAGCTTCACGATGATAAATAAAGGTAGCAGGATAAAGTCTTAATGTTTCCTTGATAACTGCATCTAGATATACTAATTTTGATATTTCTTTCTGAGTCGGTAATTCCCGATTTGGCAAATTTTCATCAATTTCCCTAATAAGTCTATTTTGAACCTCTTTATGCGTTTG